CATATTGATTTAGGTTCTCGAAACCTTAAACTATTGAACAAAATCTATATAGAACCTTATAATAAGGACCATAATCACCATGATCAGGAAGTCCATGTGATGAAACTTGATATTATAAGGACCAATGATGAAAAAGGTTTCATTTTTAGACTAAACAAGATGAAAAATATACAAACTACCTTAATCATGTCAAATCTTGTGTTTATCCGTTCTTTATTGAAAGTAAGATGCCAAAATATACAAACTAATGATAATACAGTGCTATAACTGGCCCTCTTGGTTGAGTTCTTTGAACCTGCAAAGCCAACACATTAAAGAAACATAGTAAAAACCTTTTTAGGAACAAACCTGATATAATAAAGCTTTCACCCAAGATATTTATAAGATAAAAATACAAAAAGTTAAAAATGATGAAATCAATTACAAGTAAGGATTAAAATAAAAACCTGTTAAGATAAGGCCTTCGCCCCATCCTGTCTCAAAATCGTTTTCCTGATCCATTTTTTATGCATATTGATCTCGACATTGATAAAGCCTCTATTAAAAAATGGTTTGTCCGAACCTAGAGTATATGTAGATCAAGATACACATGAAGTTCTAGCAGCCTTACATGGTTAGCCCCAACCCTTTCAGAAGTTCTAATATCAAATTTCCAATCCATTCACCTTCAATGACCAACACTATGGTTTATACGACCTTCTTTTCAAGTTTCTAGACATTCTAGGGCAGCTTCAGCAAGAAGCCTTCTGCATACATAATAATAAAATTAACAATGAAGACCTAATATCATTAATCATAAAAGAAGATCAAATATAAAGCAATAAAAACCCCAATTCTTGGACTGAACCGACAAAAAAACTAAGAATGGGATTTACCAGTTTCACTTGTCTGAAAGTTAATCTTCAAGGGAAGAAGAGTCGTATAGACTTTCTGGTGGGCTAATGGTCAATTTTCGATGAGTTGAGGCAGGTGAGGAAGTGAGGAAATAGAAAGGAAGGTATTCTGAGATAGAGGGAGAAGATTAGGGTTTGTGGATGGAGAATGAGGTTTTCTACCATTCCCAGAATCATCACATCCATAAGAAGATCCAAAAAAATCAAGTTTTTTGAAATCAAAGCATGTATAGGTAAAAAATGTTACCTGAAAGTGGAGCAATGAAAACACTTTGTTGACATATCTGCAACAAAAAAAATCTGAGCTTTCTGTTACCAAAAAATCACATACAAATTGATCATATGTCTAAATAAGGGGAGAGATAAACAAAATCTTGAAGCTCTATCATTTGATGTGTAGCAAATAACAACTCCAAATAAGATCTGGGTGTTTTGATTTGCGATTCCAACTCAGGATACAGACAAATAAGAAGTAATATGAAGGAGTCACCTGATGCGGTGGTGTATGATGGTTTTGACAGCGATGATGGTTGATCTTGTGAATACAATGGTGGATGATGTTATTGGTGAAGACAGGTGAGAATATAGGGGTGCAAGATAACCTGAACGATTCGAGATCATCATTGTGTTTAGAGAGAGAAAAAAAGGATTCAAGAAGAGGATTCTTACCTAACTATGATAGAATTTCAGATCTTCAACATCAAAAATATAACATGTTATACTTTGCAAAATGTTGCAAAACCTCCATTAACAATAGATTCACGGTAGGCTTTATAGTAGAGGATGTAACAAAGAGCCATCTGCAGGAGAAATATTTGAATCAACATGCATTTTCGGATGATTTCAAATTTTGAATTATCCGAAATTCAGGGAAGGAGATAGAATTTGCTAAGAAATATAAGGATTCAAAACGTGGGTTAAAATTTAATGTTATTTTATTGATAGACTACTTGTACTATTAGCTTAATGATTTGAACGTCTTAAAAAATAATATTATTATATTCAATCCATTTTTAGAAATAGTGAGATTTCTTTTATAAGATAGTAAAGATATATATATATATATATATATATATATATATATATATATATATATATATATATATATATATATATCAGTAATTCTAGTTATAATACTGATTGATCTACTTACGGGAAAGGTGCCTAGAATGGTCACATTGGCTTGGTTGTTGGATTTCAGAAAAGCTATACGCCGAAATGATCCTGCCTCCTAACTGTCCGACCTAGCTGATCCTTATTTGATAGAACTATCGGTATTCATTGGGATTAGTGTTAGATCAAGCCTACATTACAGATTCCCAGAGAACTAATAAACTATAGTAATATATGTTAATCCTCGTTAAAGTATTGGTCGTCAGCTAAACTGTCTGGTTAACTGTTAATCCTTTGAGAATCTGTCAAGGTGAGTCTTCTCACTATATTGTATACTCCAGTATGTATCCTCTATATGTTAGGATATAATTACCTTGTAGTATGCACTTAGGCAATTAGACTAGGTTAGTTAGTTCCCTGTTATGTGGATTGTTGCTATATGTATGTTGATATATCTATATGTGGAGTTGAGGGCGGACCAGCCCTGTGCTGAAGGACAATAGGCTCGGGCGTACTAGCTCTATGCTAAAGGACAATGTGTGGTCCAACTATATGGTGTAGGCAAAGATAGGGTGGACCGAATTTATACTGAAGGCCAGGGGCGGACCAACTATATGTTGAAGGCTATTATATGTATGCATTGTATATATGTTGTGGTATGGAATATTTTGAGGGAATTCACTAAGCCTCGACTTACAATTGTTGAATTATTGCTTTACAGTTTGTTCATCTGATCGTGGAAAGGCTTATGCAAGACTGTATTGACATCGAAGCATCAATAAAGTTTTATAGACTTCCGATAAAATATTTTTTGATATAATAATAAATTGTAATGTTTTGTAAGACGTATATTTTTAATAAATAAAAATGAAAAATTTGCCTTTGAAATTTAGGACGTAACATGCCTGGACTCTGCCACGGTGTGGTGGCATGCCTGCCACGACATGGTAGCGGATTTTGATCGTGACCAAGTTGAATGGCCATGACGTGGTCATGGGTCGGCCACAACATGGATGTCAGTTGGAGTTGACTCTGACTGTTGACTTTTTGAACTAGTTTCACTTTTAGTCAAATTTTTGGTTTAGAAGGTAGACTAAGGGTTGCCTTGTATGATTCTGTAGGAGGTGTGTAGCACCTGCTTTGTGATTGTGTGAGCTTGTTAGTTGTCGACTGCACCTATGAGGTGAGTTTTATCACTAATTATGTAGGATGCTAGATTGTATTTGTGACTCTTGCATGTATAGAGGTCGGGGCCCATTAGTTGTGTGGGCATGGCCCAATGTTATGTATGGTATATGTTAATTTGGGGAACTTACTAAGCTTTGTGCTTTACAGTTTTATGTTTAAATGTTCCAAGTACTTCTGGTTCCAAAGGAAAAGGCCCGACCTGATCGCACTGCATCCCCTGGAGATTTATTCCACAATATCTTTTTATAGTTTACTCTGATGTTTTGAGAATGCATTATACTCTATCTATCTTTTGAAAGTAATGAATGAACGTTTGATTGATTTGTCAATGAAAATTTTACTTAGTATTTTTGGGACGTTATAATTTGTGCATATAAACAACATGTTATTATATTAATACATGTGGTGTTGGAGTTGCAACCAATTTTTGTGACCACTTAGTAGTGGAGTTGGACCTCGATTATCGATGGGTCCTTGATCATCTCACCTTGGTGGGAGGTTAACAAAGTATACATATTTCAATTATATTAATATCAATCCAACTAATTTCCTTTTCCATGTTTGGTAAACAGTTTCTTATTTTAATATCTTCTATGATACATTTTCCGTGTGGAATAATTGTTTACCCTTTTTTGATATCTTTTCGATTGAGTTTCACTAAACCTTAAACAAAGAACCAATTTAAAAATGGTAAACCACACCCTCTGAAAAATCCATATTAACCCGTCCCAACGCCTATGTGAGAGGTCAATCATGAAACACTAGTAATATTTTAGGTATGCCAATGTTTGAACCATGAACATCCTGTATGAAATTTCACTTCTCAACAACTAGACTTCCGAAAAAAAGAACAAAAATATCCGGGATCATTGATTCTCCACCACAATAAAATATTTTATGGCCGAACCAACATCATGGAACGAGTTTAAGATCGATTAATGGTATTGATCATCTTTGCAATGATAATTACATTTATTCATATTGGAGGTGCTTGTAACTGTTTTATACTTATTGGTTTTTTGATATGATCATAGACGAAATCAATTTCGAGCCCAAAACCAAAAGAACTTGAGTATTTTAATTTGACTTTCAATAAAATTACAGTTAAAAATTACACCTATATTATATACAATTTTGATATTAAAAACGACAACTCTTATGAAAAAACAAAAAATGAAGTATGTTAATTTCCTAATAAAAATTACAATATTTAAGTTAATCATCTTTTGTCTCTACTAGATAGACATTTTTGTGTGTGTTTTATTATACCATTAGATTGAATTTCGATTTTATATGGTGTACATAGTATATTGCTATGATCGAGTTTTGTTAGCTCGTAGACCTATGATTAAAAGGCTAAGTGAACAAAAATTAGCAAATTATATTATATTAGATGAATATAATGGACAACATATAAGATGTTTAATACCTTTTTTCTGGACTGAAATCTACTTTAACGATATAATAAATATAAAAATAATAATTGATTTATTGACTATAGTCTATAGTTGAAAAATAAATGACTTAAAAATAAATTAAAAATATTACTAACCATTTTATGACATTAACCTTTTGTGAATTACAACCTTAAAAATATAATTGTTCTTTTCTCAATACACAGTGTCACGTTTTAATAAATACATGAACATTTTATCAAACTTCTTATTAGGAGAATTTAAAATACTTTTTTCAACAATGGTCTATTATTTATCGACATAAACATTAAAAACCACCTTGAAAATGAGACTTTTTAGGGCTTCATGAGTGAAAAGCCTCTAACGTAAACTACCATTTTCGATTTGTTTATTTTTGCATTTTTGAAATCCAATTCCTCCAACGGTTCCCTCCTCTCTCTATCTCTCTCATCGCATCATTGCAAGTGAAGAAGAGATCAAGGGACAACCTGGTAACACATTCGTGTTCGACTTCCTCAGTTGATTAATCTCAACTTCTTCACTTGGCCCTAAGTGATGCAAGATTTTATCGGCTCAGTTCGTCGATCTCTAGTGTTCAAACCCTCCGCCGGCGGTGGGGGAAATGAAAATGGTGTCGGCGATTCTTTCGGTGGATTTGTCGAAAAGATCGGTTCAAGCATTCGTAAATCAAAAATCGGACTTTTCTCTAAGTCTTCCATTCAGGCCCTACCTCCAAGCAGACCGGTGGCGAAGACCAAAAACGAAGAGGCCGGCTCCCAGATCCGATGGCGGAAAGGAGAATTAATCGGTTGTGGGGCATTTGGTAGGGTTTATATGGGAATGAATCTCGATTCAGGGGAGCTACTTGCTGTCAAACAGGTTTTTAAGGCGTAATTGGCATATGCTGCATGTTGCTTGTGGTAGTACTAAATCTTATAGATTTGGTATTGATGTTGTTCTTTGTTGTTTTCATCTGCAGGTTTCTGTTGTTGTAAATACTGCTTCAAAGGACAAAACGCAGGTGTGTTTCTATTTACATAAGTTTTAATCACTCATGGTTGTGATTAGACCTCATGAAGCTTCCATTCTAATGAGGAAATAACCAATAAGTTGATTTATCTTTCATCACTTGTCTTCTATATAATCTGATTGTTTCTTATTTTACACTTTTGTAATGGCTCAGATTTGGATCAATAAGTTACTAAGTGATCACACTCTGATCTATTAATTAGCTAATCACAATTCAATTCAGGATGCACAGCACTAACTATATCCTGAACTTCTATCATATGACATCTACCATATTTTTTTAACACAAATTGCAGTCACAAAACTTGTATTGGATTTGTAACATACAAGTAATGGAGCATTTTTCTCATAAGAAAATTGAGCAAGTAACCTTTGTTACTGCAAGATTTTGATTTGTAATATAGATTATAGAATATTTGACTCTGTATTCAAAGATTGGTAGCTTAATGGAGCATTTTCACTCATGATAGGCACACATCCGGGAGCTTGAAGAAGAAGTGAAGTTATTGAAGAATCTTTCACATCCAAACATTGTTGTAAGTTGCAAAATATTTTTATTATTATCTTGTATTTGGTAAATCCCAACACCAGGAAAATAGCAATTCTCAAAATCATTTATCATCATCCATATATATCATCAAAGATACATCATTATCCACCTATAACTGTATACATAGAGTATCCAAAAGCTACATAATCATGTTATGCCAATGTACCTTATGTGTTTTTTTTATTTTTATTTTGTTACAGAGGTATCTGGGAACTGCTAGAGAGGAGGAATCATTAAATATCTTCCTGGAATTTGTTCCAGGTGGATCCATCTCATCACTCCTAGGAAAATTTGGTTCCTTCCCTGAATCTGTAAGTTACTGTTACCATAATTTTGAATTTTAGTTAATGGAATCTTTTCATAAGGAACTTGGAAATTTAACTTTAGTTTCTAAATGGAGCAGGTGATAAGAATGTACACAAAACAATTATTATTAGGGCTGGAATATCTCCACAAAAATGGTATTATGCATAGGGACATCAAGGTAAATTCACTCTCTCTCTATCTCTCTGATATGAGTTCATGTTTGTAGTTGAATATGTGGACATTTTTTGTGACAACAGGGGGCAAATATTCTTGTTGATAATAAAGGAAGGATCAAACTTGCAGATTTTGGTGCCTCAAAGAAAGTTGTAGAGCTGGTATGCATGCTAATATGCTATGCCCTAATTATTATTAATTACTTTTACTTTATACACTGATTTTTTTTAAATATATTTTTTTTCTTTAGGCTACAATGACAGGCGCAAAGTCAATGAAGGGTACCCCATATTGGATGGCTCCTGAAGTTATACTCCAAACTGGCCATAGCTTGTTAGTATAATCAATTAATCATTAATTGTTTTTTGGATAAATAAATGATGTTTAAAAAGGTATTTGAATAAATTTATTTTGTTTTTATTTGTTATTTTTGTAGCTCTGCTGATATATGGAGTGTTGGATGCACTGTTATTGAAATGGCAACTGGAAAGCCTCCATGGAGTCAACAATATCAGGAGGTGTTTGTTTGTTTACAATTTATTGTTCTGAGATTTTAAGGTTTCAGAATTTATTCCTAGGTATGTGTACTAAATAAATCATGGGTGTTTTTTTCTTTTGTTTAGGTTGCTGCTCTCTTTCATATAGGAACAACAAAAGCTCATCCACCTATACCAGATCATCTTTCTGCAGAAGCAAAGGATTTTTTGCTAAAATGCCTCCAAAAGTATGAATTCATATTATATTATTATCTTTATTTTTATTTTTTTTTCTTACCTTTATTGGTTTATGCTATGATAGGGAACCAAATCTCAGGCCTGATGCATCAGAGTTACTACAGGTGATTTCCATCTCAAGCTTTATTTATAGTCACTAAACTGGAAATGAATAACAATTAAAATATGGAAACAAAAAAAAATGTTATTCATTTTTTCTTTTCCTTTTAAACTTATTTGTTTAATAAAGTAAAAGTTTTGGTTTGTGTTTTCTAATTCTTTGCAGCATCCATTTGTTACTGGAGAGTATGAGGAGTCTCATCCTGTCTTTCGCACATCAGTTATAGTCAGTATTCTAACATAAAAACTCCTTTAATTTTTTTTTAAAATATTTTTCTATAAATTATTACACTTTTGTTATATAGGCAACACCTAGCAATCAAATTCCAACATCCATGAAGCAACCTAGAAGGTGAGAGAATCCATAAGATTTATGATTTATCCTTTTTTTTATTACTTATATAAATTATTTCAATAAATGAAAAGTTGATTTGCTATTGCAGCATATGCATGAACATGAAAACAAGTGGTAGTGGTGGAATGGTGGATGCTGATGATAAAGATAGTGTAAGGTGCTCAACTATATACCCTGAGAAATTTTCTGGATGGGGTTCAAGTAGATATGATGATGACATGTGTCAAATGGATGATGATGATCTAATGGCTGGGAACACATCTATGAAATTTGAATTTAATGATGCCAATAAGGTAATAACTGCATAGATGGCATCCAAAATGCACTTATGGTATTTTTTTTTTGGATATTATGGCTCTAACAATATGTGATTGGAGACAGAGTTTTAACCCCATGATGGAACCTGATGATGACGTGGCATGTCAGTTTGATGCGAGTCCTGAATTTGGAAAGGATGTAGCTGCTAAATTGTTTCCAGATGAAGTTTGTGAGATGACTGCAGATGGAGATAATGGTTTTAGTTTTCCTTCAGGGGTAGAGGAGGAAGAAGAAGTTACAGAAACAAAGATCATAGCATTCATTAATGAGAAGGTGGATTTTGTTTCTAACATGACATGACATGACATGACATGACAGGTTGTACAGTGTTTGGTTTGCAGTTGGACTTTTGATTGGGATTAATGTGAATGAGACAAGAAATGTAATTCTTGTCACGCCTGAAAAGGTAAAACAATATTTGACAAACACTTGCTCTCTATCCCTCATATGTGCAAATGACATAAATGCCCTCCTCAACCTCATCATTGGAAATAGCCCTAAAAAGCTTGTTCAGTCCCTTCCAGTTCTATCCTGTGTAAACAACACGGCCGAAGGCCGTGTTTGTTACATGGGATAGGAGTTAATGGGAAGGGACTGGACAAACATTTTAGGGCTATTTTCAATGATGAGGTTGATGAGGGTATTTACGTCATTTGCACATACGAGGGATGGAGAGCAAGTGTTTGTCAAATATTGTTCCACCTTTTCAAGCGGGAAAAGAATTACATTTCTTGTCTCGTTCACATTAATCCCAATCAAAAGTCAAACTGCAACAAAAAACAGTACAACCTGGTTCTGTTCTGTTATGTCATGTCATGTATTGTGTACTGTATAACAAATGGTTAACTTTTTTTTTGGGTATGTGGAAAACAGGCTTTAGATCTGAAGAAGATGCAGACGCCTCTATATGAAGAATTTTACAACTCCATGAATACAACAATTACTCCTGTTGGGAATGAAAACAAGGAAAATTTATCAAGCAACCTGCACTTACCTCCGAAAAGCAGCAGATCACCTATTAGGCGGCTAAGAAAGAGATTATCTTCAGCTGTTGACATTTCCAGTCCTGGTAATAATAATAATAATAATAATTCTGAGAGCTTATCGCGTGTTGCTGGTGTAAATGATCAAAATCCACATGAATGTCGGTCTCCTCAGAATGATTCTCAAGTAGAGGCCATTAGTCCAAGGTTTGTGACTATATAAGCTCTGTTTAAATTTAGCTTCTTATTTTGTGGTTATTGGAGACTAAAAATATTGTATTTTTATAGGGCAAGCTTCTCAGAGAGGCAAAGAAGATGGAAAGAAGAGCTCGCGGAAGAGCTTGAAAGAAAACGAGGTAAATCTATCTTTTCTTCCATCCTTTAAGAAAAAAAATGAAAGTATGTTTGCTATATCTTGTGACAATTATGAATGTGGCAGAGATGATGAGGCAAGCAGGGGTAGCAAAAACATTGTCCCCAAAGGATCGGATTATAAATAAGCAAAAAGAACGATTGAGGTTTGTGTTTCCTGGAAATTAAATACATGAAGATGATGAGAGCAAGAGTGTAATGTTGGGTTTTGATTTGTTTTTGATTTAGTTATTGTATTTAGTTGTAATATTATTATTTAAAGTGAAGATGAGACCAACGAATACGGCGAGCAAAACCACCTCAATTTGTATTAAATCCATGTGGTCGCCCTCATATAAATATTACCCTTTTTTTTTTTATTTTTTTATTTGTTGTGATCCTGTTATATGTGAAATATGAAAATAAAAAAATATTTCATTTGCTTGGATTGAAAAAAGGTTAGGTTTGTGGTTAGATCGGATGTTTTTTTCATTTTTGACTTTGGGTAGCATATAGGGCTGTAAACGAACCAAACGAACACGAACAAGGTCTTGTTCATGTTCATTCGCTTAAGTTAGCCGAACAACAAACGAACACGAACGGATAAACGAACGGGATTTTCTTGTTCATGTTCGTTCGTTTAACAAATTACTTTGTTCATGTTTGTTCGTTTATGTTCGTGAACATGCTAAACGAACATAAACGAACAAACATAAACGAACAAACATAAAAAACACAATTGAACATATATGAACATAAACGAACATATAATATAGCAATATAATAAAAAAAATTGAATATAAATGAATATAAATAAACTTAAACGAACAAACATAAACGAACGTAAACGAACATCATAAACGAACGTTCACGAACATAAATGAACGAACGAGACCATTGTTCATGTTCGTTCATTTAACTAAACGAACGATAATTTTTGTTCATGTTCGTTCATTTATTAAAGATGGTCTCTGTGGTTTCAAAACTTTTAATGTTTAGTCCTTCCGCCTAACTCCGTCAGCTTTCTACCGTTAAGTGAGGGGTATTTTCATCATTTCAATATCCGGGGACCATTTATGAGGTTTTCTCTTATTATCTTAATTTTTTTATTAAAAAAAAAGAAAAAATGAAAGAAATTTGATCTCTCTCTCTCACTCACACACACACACACACACACACACACACACACACTCTCTCTCTCTCTCTCTCTCTCTCTCTCCATTGCTTTGAGACTTGTACAATACGTATTCTTATAGCTTCATCTTCCCTAAAAAGCCAAACCAACTTTGACCTTGAATAATCATCGTATCCATCAGATTGGGCAAGGAACAGACGAACGAAAGGCAGATCGATGGGAGGTCCGGTGCGGCTGGGAAATCACGAGGAGGGAAAAGGGTGTCCGTCGAGACCGATAACCCCTTGTTGGTTTACAACTCTTCTTCATTGATCGGGAAAGGGAAGAAGGAACACGAATGAAAGCAGTCAAAATGGTGGTCTGATGGTTAAATAGATCGCAAGAAGGGAGTCGATCTCCGGCAAACTCCCCTTGGCTCTTCACTCGTTGTCGGCGATTACAAATCGAGGGGAATGGGAAACACTGGATCGAATGGAGAAAGAAGAATGGAAGAAGAGGTGGTTCGGTGGGGGGTTTGGACAATCGCCAAAATGAAGGAAGAAAACGAAGGCAACTTATGATGTTGGGTGACTGTTACAGCAAGGGGGTTGCTCCGGTGGCCTCCTTGGCCGTTCCTTCTCTGTTCCATTGGACAAACACGAGGGAGGAAGGGAAGGAAACAGCGAAGTAGCAGCGGAGGGAAGCAGCGATCCTCAGGGGTATTTGGTTGTTTCCGATCAACAGGAGGAGGGGTGGAGGAGGGCTGTCCCCATTTCATCTTCTGGCTGATCCGGTGACTAAAACGGAGAACCCTTTTCTTGATTTTGTGAATGATTTCATTGGGGTTGCTAAACGATTTCATGTCTGTTACTCAGGCTCAATTTCTTGGTGAACTTTTAGGGAGGAAGAGAAGGATGGGATGGGGATCGGAGTGTTTACCAGAGGAACCGGTGGTAGAATTTGGTGGTGACAAACGGTGAGGAATGATGCGATGGTGGGGGCAACGAAGAATGATTTGATTCACGAGAGAGAGAGAGAGAGAGAGAAGGAGAGAGGGAGGGAGAGAGAGAGAGAGAGAGAGTGAGTGAGTGAGTGAGTGAGAGAGAAAGAGAGAGAGAGAGATGGTGTTTAATATTAAATAATTATATTTATTTTTCTTTTTTTTTTTTTTAAAAAAATTAAGGCAAAACTTCATAGATGGTCCCTGTGGTTGTGAAATGATAGAAATGCCCTTCACTTAACGGCTAAATGTTAACGGAGTTAGCGGAAAAGATCATTTGTTAAAAGTTTTGAAACCACAAGGACCATCTGTGAGGTTTTTTGAACTTAGGGACTAAACTTGATATTTTCGGAAACCACAGGGACCATTTTTGAAGTTTTGTCTTTATTAAATAAACGAACATAAACGAACTTCCCGCCGAACAGTTCACGAACGGTTCGCCGAACGTTCAGTTCGTTTACAGCCCTAGTAGCATATAGTAGATGAGAGACAAGACAAAGTAGCACATAACAAACTCCTTTTGTTATGTATTATTGTTTTAGTTTCCTTTTGTTATGTATTATTGTTTTAGTCTTATCAAATGTTACACAAATAATCAGTTCAGTCCTATCAGATCTTGTTTTGTGTACGAAACACTACCCGAGTGGATTAGCAATGTTCGTCCTAGTAGGTAACTAATCTTGACAAATTGCTATTGCAATAACTTCAATCAATGACTAGATAAGTGTTATAAAACTAGAAATTGCCCTCTCTCTTTTATGGGGACGGTATTTCCAATTTCTTTGCCGAACCCATAAGTTTCAATGTCCGCTTTGTAAGGAGTGTACTCTGTAAATTTTCTATTAAGCAGGGATCATTTTTGTATATTTTTTTAAACACACGGACTATTTGCAGTAAAAAAATCTGCATTTAGACATTTTTTGTAAATTATAGGAACAATTTTATAATTTTTTTGCTACAAAGGGATTAAATCTTCCAACATACAAAAATCTCATGGTCAAAGTCTCTAACCTAAAGAGTATACATATGGACCATTTCGGTAAAAGTAAACAAAGACAACTTTTGTAATTTATTCTCCTCCCCCAACACCATTTTCGTTTTCATTTTTTGTTTCATCCTCCTCAGACTCCATTTTGGAACCCACATCGACATTTTTTGTTTCCTCTGTCTCCATGCAATTGTTTCCGTAATAAGACTTCTAGTTGTTATTTTGATACATACGTTCCGCCTCATTTTGATCTTCGTTCATAAACATTACTTCCCCTAATTACTAGAAAACTTTTAAAAGACATTAGGAGTCTGTGTACAGAATAGGAAACTATCAAATACAATTCCAACCAATCTTTTCTCCTCTAAAAGTGTTTAGAAAGAAAATTTAATTCCTTAAAATACCACTTACAATCTTAGTGTTGTTTGAATTTTAGACATGAAGAGACTTAAACTGAAGTCGTACCTACAAACCTCCCATATAGTTGATCTAAACTACTTCATAGCCCTCCTTTTTACAAACCTTATGAATGTTAGTAATTAAATTTACATCCTGGACCTTACCTAGCACTACACATGAAGCATCCGTCACTTTCAAAGGATATTTTCCTTCAATTACCATTTGCTTGGGATTGTTCTTTTTGGTCTCCAAATTCTTCTTTGCTATTTTTCCTTTTTCTACCACCAAGGCATACGGATTCCTTGAATCCTTGTTATCGGCATTCATGTTGTTTGTAGGTTTTGAGTTATTCATTTTTAAGTCTTCATCTATATCATTAGGTTTCCATTCATCTTTATTAAATCTTGCTACCGAAGCAAATAAATGTAATTTCCAACCCATATAGAACGTAAATTTTGAACCAAACGATTTTAATCTTCCACCTTGATAAATCTAACAAATCTAAACCTTTTCCCATTACTTAGATAGCTTACGAGCTATGTAAACATTGGAAACCATTCCATATCTTTCACACTCCTTCAACAATCCTTTCACATCCATTGGATTTGGAAAATTTGTAACATACATTAAAATCAACAAGTTCTCCATGCTTATGATGTTTGGGTTAGTTTTAAATCTCTCCTTATCTCGTCATTATATGCCCAATTACCGAAAATCCAAATCTATTCTCACTTGCTTGTTCTTCTGAAAAAGTACCCATCAAACCATGGACATAGAATAACATATAAGGTTTATAATCCTAAGACTTCAAACCTGCTAAAAGAGAATTCACTTATAGAGAACACTAAATCAGGAAGAAACGGTCACCCCATAGTTGTAATACCCATCTTTTTAGCGATTTTAAAATGTTATGATTTCAAAATATTTCATGACATTAAGTCACGCTTTGTAAAAAAGTTTATATCACAAGTGTTACCAAATTTATATCAAACACAATCCATAACATGAAATCTAGGGGAGGCTTGGATGTTGAAGAAGATGGATGAACCCAAAAAGACACCAACAATGTGCGAACTTGATGTAATGCTAGTTACAACTCTTAAGCTTTAAGTCAAAACAAGATTATGACTTAAAGAGAGGATGTAAGCAACAATTATCTTCAAAGTGCAAGACTTGAGAGAATATGGAGAGGGAAAGAAGAGCTCTCGACTTTTGCTAGGAAGAGTAACCCATAAATGAATCCACTCTCCATTCTTTAAAGTAGAATGTTAATCCAAGAGTCCTTAACCATTAAACATTTTAGACAACCTTGTCCCCATGCATGCACCATGCTTTGACTTCTTTTGATTAAACAAATAAGAAAACCATGCCTCTCTTTTCCCCTTAGCATGGCCGACCATATGTGGAAAAAAGAAAAGAAGAGTTTATATTTTATAAACTCAAAGTTTATAAGATATAAACCTTGTCTTTTCCTAAAAGACAAAAGGCTTTCCAAGTCTAAAATATTGACTTATTAATTCATACATTATCAAATAATATGTTACTTGTATTGTAAAATAACTATTTCCATGAAATTAATATTTTCTCATTTTATTATAAGAGTTTATGAAAATTTATTAAAATTAATTTCTAATAAATAATCAATTGTATCAAGTTGTTGTTAGTGTGACCCTTAGCATCATATGTTATTTAGCAATATCATTTTAATATGACTCTTGAGCATACTTGATCTTTCAATTAAAAAAACAAAAAAAAGAGAAAAAAAACAAATAATTAAAAAAAACAAAAAATAAAAACGTTAAAACCGAGTATATATCTATTTATTTTTTTTTGAATTTATTTAACGAAAAAAAAGGAAAAAAACAAAAAAAATAATAAAACCCACTTAAATGACGTTCTATAGATGTTCGCTGCACGTGATTAAATCATCAAGTCCGTATTAGTTACCACAGACGTGAGTCGCATTCAAACGCATCACGGGTAAGTATTTGAGTTTGACGTTTGTGCCTTTGACGAAATAGGTAGTGAAGAATTGTCTTCGCTTTACTCACAATTTTTTGAGTACTTACTGTAAGCGGACCCCATATATATATATATATATATATATATATATATATATATATATATATATATATATATATATATATATATATAGGGAGGGTATGTATAAGGAAGGTGGGTTTTAGGACCCTCCTAATTTTTTTAATTTATTTAAAATTAAAATATATAATTTTTTTAGAGACCTACTTTAAAAAAATTTAAGACCTATCTTACCTATAAAAAACCTTTAGATTTTTATAAAAAATGTATATAAAAAAATTAGTAAGACATGTGGTTTTCTATTTCTAAACTCGCCACTATATATATATATATATATATATATATATATATATATATATATATATATATATATATATATATATATATAAACGAGCAGTAATCGATGGAAGCATGCATACAAACACATTTGTTACTACTAATATTATTTTAATACTTGATATACAAATCTGAGGTGACAAGCATTAGCATGGTATTCCTTCAATATAAAAGTGTCAGGGTTTTCCAGAAATAGAAGTGACATAAGAAATGATAGAACTCAATCTCATCACAGGACAAAGGGAACAATATTATAACTCATGTAGTTAAACTTCCATATTCTTTCAGATTTGATGACATTTGCTTTGATAAAAAAAAATCACTACCCAAGAAAAAAAGGTTAGACATTAAAAAAGCTTCAAAAGGTAACCAACCAAAAAGGTTCTCAATTACATGTAAGTCCTTTCTATCCATGCCATCTTCCGTTCACCTAATTGGCACAATATATTTTTCTTTGCTTTTAGGTTCCATCACAACATCAATTGTATCATCATCATCATCGATGGTCATAGTCGTATCCAGTATTTTTGTTAGTATATGCTTGAATGGTTTCTTGATTTGTATGCAAAGATCTATCATCTTGACATACTCTTCGTGCATATCAACCGTAGACGTCCATGGCTCCTTTCAGCTTGAAAACAGCTATTCTTGTATGGTGCCTCCACTGCTTGGATGATTAGCCTTCCACCTTCCCGGTGATGACTAACATGAAACAAACTCGAACTACGTATTGTAGTCAAAGGGGGTGGAAAGCTACGAGAAACAACTTTCTTTGATCCCATTTGAGGAACCAAAACCCTAATTTTCTCCCTAGGAGCAATTATTTCTTGGCTCCTTGTGTCCAATCTGTTGGATTCTGAAAACAAGGCAACGCTCCCTTGGCTAGTGTCACTCCCGCTCTCATTTCCTAGGCTTTCTGTGCAGAGTGCAAGGCTTTTCTGACTGAGCTTTGAGTGCGAAGATTGGTTGACCCAAGGATGGACATAAGAGCTTTCTTTTTCAATGGGCTTTTGGGAGGAAAGAGACTGAAGGAAACTCCAAGAACCATAATCGTTATGTTTAATGACTTCTTTGCAACACTTTGGTGCCATTAGTTTGAGTCTCATGGTGGTTGCCTCTAAAACAAGCGAGGACTCGATGCAAGAATGCACACCTTGTTGACACACCACCGTAGACATTGCAAAAAATGTAGATATGGTTTGGTGGTTTAATTTCTGATGGAAATTAGAACATGAGCGACAGGATCAAATGGGGAGGATGCCAATTTATAGCGACTAGAAGTGGTAACGAGGAGGTGTGGGTGGGAAATGGAAAGCTTTTTGCACCACTTCGATTATAGTATTAGTTGTTGTGCCACAGGGTCATACACTACTATTTATGCAATCAATAATCATACAACTATTTAATATTATATTTATCTATAAATATCCAAAACAAAATTGAATAGTTACGATTTATCCAAAATCAAAGGACCTTTAAATGAAAATAAAGGTTAAACTTGTATTGGTAAGTTTCTATTGCAAAGCACAAAAGATCTTGATATTCACAAAATCATCCAGTTTTAATTAAAGCTAAAATTGATGAACTTTGAGAGGGTTTAGCCGTTTAGCGAACCTTATTCCTGTTCTTAAAGATCATATATCTTATGTTATATTGTATGATGAGTTCTTTGATCATGTAATGTTATAGTTAACTAAATGTTCGTTTCAACTATAGAATTATTTTTTACATAATCTATGTGAAATTTTATACTCTATAAAGAAATTGAGAATCCAATTAGAATATATATTAGGAAATATTTTGCATGAGTATGTATTTAGTAACACAAGTTTTGTATAATTAAGGACGTATTTTACAAAAATAACTGATAACAGAAAACTGGAAATTATGATTTTATATAAAAATGTTCCATAAAAATTGTTGTTAATTTTTATAAGTATAAACTAAACTCCAATAACTAATTTTGAAGTAGCTTTTTGTTTATGAACTTTTGCTTAAAAGGAAAGCTAAAAGCTTGTATAGGCTAACACTACTTTTTGTCTAATTCAAGGTTTTTGTTAGAAAAAAAACTTAAAAGCAAAAGCTATTAAAAGCTTACTATGCCCTAAATCCATATAAAATTAACACAAAATTACAAAAATAGTATATATGGTCTTTTATATTAGCAAGTTTAGTCCGTGTGTTATATGTGTAACCCTTGTGGTTTCAAAATCTTGTATGTTTTGTCCTTCAGCCACATGAAATGAATTTTTAACCTTTTTATCTTTTTTTACATATCTTTAATTAATTTTAATTAAAAATATAAGAAGATATCAAAATAACGACTATTTCTCTCACTCCCGCTTCTTCCTCATGTTCTCATTCTCGCTCACTCACCTCCTCATCTATATCTCCCAATCGAAGAATGTGCACTACTCGCTTGCTTCCCCTTTTATTTATCCGCCTCGGGTGGCCACTAATCGCCACCCATGAACACCCATAACTTCCTTCTTGTACATTTATCTAACACCCATTTCATGTATGAGCTAATCCATCCTAATTTAAGTCTCCACTCTGGGTAACCACAACGTGGTGAGGTATCACCACGGCGTGGCAAAAAATTTATTGATCGCGGGATTAAAAGGACCCGCCACGGCGTGGCCATAAGGGCCACGATGTGGCAGTTAATTTTCATAAAACTTTAATTTCTGGGTTTTGCACCCTATTTAAAGGAAAATGGGAGGCTAGTGTTGCTCATCTTCAACCTCCATTATTCTCAAACCCAGAAACCCTAAACCTAATCCTCTTTGGTGCTCTTGTGCTCATTTTAGTGAACTTGTGGTGGCTTTAAAGGAAGAAGATGAAGAATTAGTGCTTGGTTCATCAAGGGATCCTTTCCTCAATTGGTGTGCATCTTCTGGACTCCGTGTAAGTCCTCAAGCTTCAACCTTTTTGTGTTCTTCTTCATAGATCTAGGTTTTGGAGCATGATTGGTCCTTTTTGGAGTGGTTTGAGTGACATGAAGAGATAAAGTTTGCAACTTTATGGTTTCTCTATGTCCCTTGAATGTCATATCTCATAGATCTGGACTTTTGTAGTAAGATGGGAACCATGCATGGATTTTGGGTCATTTTGTTCCCTTTTGACCTATTTTGAAGAAGGACATGCATGTCCATAAAGTTTGGATTTTTATAGACCATTAGGAGTCTTAGAAACATTCTGGAAAAGTTCGACTAAGGACTTTCAGGATTAAGTGCTTAATGGTTGAGCCCCTGCAATTTTTAGCCTTTTTGGATCTAAGACTTGAGATCTAGACCTCTTGGTTGATCTTTAAGGGATAAAGGTGGAAACTATCTCCATTTGGACATTTGAAACGATCAGATCTGGACCTTGGAACCTTTGGTATTGGAGGATTCGACTTAATCCATTAAGACATTTTGAACCCAGTACCTATGGCGTGGCCTAGGTTGCCACGATGTGGCGACTACAGAAAATGCGACTCTCTTGTCGTTTGAAGGACACAACGTAGCAAGGATGGCGACGACATGGAGGGTCAACTTTGACCGTTGACTTTAACGTTTTGACTGGAAATGATTCTTGGCAAACCCTTATGTTTGACAGGTAGACTAAAGGTTTACCTTGTATGATTATCTAGGTGTGGTGTAGCACTTGTCTTGTTAGCAGTAGAGGAGCAACAATTGATCATCGTTGTTAGGTGAGTTCCTTCACTGTACTCATGGTCGAAGGCACCAATGTTGGCCCACTGGATTATGTTTGTAGGATGATAGTTGTCTTTGTGACATTTATTATTATGCCTGTATGTGCTTGTTGTCTTTGTGACTCTTGTTGATATGATTATATGCTTAACTGTAGGGGTGAAATAGACCTGATACCGGTTGAAAGATACCGAAGGGGGTGACATAGAACCAGTACCGGTTGAAAGAGACCGATGGGGGTGAAATAGACCCAATACCGATTGAAAGAGACCGAAGGGGGGTGAAATAGATCCGGTACCGATTGAAAGAGAACGAAGGGGGTGAAATAGAACCAATTATGTTTTGAATTGTTATGTATGTATGATATGGGGTATTTTGGGGAAACTCACAAAGCTTTGTGCTTACAGTTTTATGTTTATGGTTTCAGGTACTTCCAGTTCGAAAGGGAAGGGTATGGCATGATCGCACCGCATCCACCAGCATTCCGCATTTTATGACCTGATTTGTACTCTAATAACTATTTTATACATTATCATGTTTTGATGTGTTTTGAAATGAATAAATGATGTTGGTTGGTTCTTAAAATGAAATTTTTACCTAGTAATTTTTTGGGACGTTACAAGTTGGTATCAGAGCCTTGGTTTGAGGGATTCGAGCACACTTTTGGGTGTGTCTGGACTCAAACTAAGTAATTGAAAATATTTGAATGAAAAAGTGTTTTCTAAATAAATTATTATAAAGAAAAGGGGTGTGATTCACGCAATCAGCCGAGCTCAAGTAAGTATTCCCAAAATACCCATACATGTTATTGTTTCAGTATATGTTTATGTGTATAACATGCTAGATTAATACTAAGGATCTGCTCAGAATTTCATAGTAGGATGCTAGGAGAGATGACTTTGTATGTCAGTTGTATGAACGCTTAATTAGAACTGCATGCTAGTATGGATTTCAAATGATTAGATAGAGTGGCTTGGTTAGGTAGTGCTCTGGTTTAGAGCTCAATGCTCGAATGTTGCTTGCTTTTTGATTCTAGGGACTCTACTAGTGTCGGCTAATATTAAGCGAATACTTTAAATTCGATGTTGTGGGGATTAGATAATTCTCGAAGTTTAGGTTCAACTCTATTGCGCAACTCTTGTTTGATTCCAACCGTTGTATAGTGGGACCTAGCAGTCGAAAATTATCTGGTGCTGGTAACATGTAGTTGTATTCGTGAAAGAGTTAGAAGACACTGGAGGGGAGTCTCTTATGCAGCCGATAGCAGAGAGTGGTGTGGAAAAGAACCCTAGGAAAGGCTAGGATGTGTCTTAGCGCGTAAGGCGCTCTATAGCGCAAGTGAAGTAAATGATAGTAGGGAAGTATCTTGGAGGATTTGAGACAGTCCTTCAGGAAAGTATAAATAGGTGCGGAAGGTAGTATTGGGCTCATACTAATGAAAGCACATGATCTATACCTAAGAAAAGGAAGGCCTTAAGGAATTCGAGTAGTGTGAAACTTTTTGTGCGTATACTGATTATTTATGTATTATGTTTCAACATGGTGATGACACATGGCAGAGAAGGAGGTTCAGGATCTGGATCTGGCTCAGGATCGAGCATCAAACCGATTGACAAGGGATTATGCGAGTTCATCACACATGAGATTACGAGAGGCATCCTTGATGCGATCCTGGTAATGTTCGGGTCGATCAAGGAGGGTATCATCAAGTTGATGGAGGATCGTATATGGACCGTTAGGGTCGAGCTAACTGCATGTCATTATGCGCCCTGCTCTCTATCCTTCAAGGATTTCAGGGGATGTGGGGTGTCGGAGTTCTTTGGGGAGAAGGACCCTATTTCCGCCAGAAGATAGACAACATACATCGAGTGTGCTCATATGACTAGCTTCTGCCCTGAGGGGTCAAAGGTGAGGTTCGTTGTAGGCTATCTGAGGGAGCGAGACCGGGATTGTTGGGAGGAGGTTGGTTATACTCTAGAAGCTACAACCATTGAGGCCATAACTTGGTTGGATTTTGTGACCCGGTTCCGAGCAGAGTTTTCACCGGCTGTTGGGGTGCAATAGCTAGCGAGGGAGTTCCTAGATATGCGTCAGACGACTGAGATCGTGGTGGAGATCACCGCCAAGTTCCGAGAGAGAGCTTTATTGGTACCCTAGTATGCTGCAGATGAGGAGATGAGGAAGACTCGATACCATGACATGCTGAGATCAAATATCATGGAATTTGTTTGTTTTTCAGCCTGTCTGACATTGGAGGACATGATATCCTGGGCCTAGGAGCGGGAAATTGATTTGGAGCACATCGGGAAGAGGAAGGCAGAGAAGGTGCAGATGACTGGATTTCAGCGAAGAAACCCAAGAGTTTTGATTCTAGATCGAGGGGCCAATAGGGTCGGGGCATTGTGGCAAGTGACGAAAGATGCATGGTGGAGTGTGCAGGGCAGGTGGTTCGGCTGCTATAAGTGCGACAAGACATGGCACTT